GGGGGGCAAGGGAGGTGAGGGGCTGCGCTGGCCCGCCCCCTCAGTCCGTTTTCCACACCTTGTTGAGGAACTTGACCACCTCATCGTAGATGACGAAGACGATGGCCACATCGAGGCAGACACGGCCCAGGCGAGGCACCGTACCCTTGTAAAACCTGCCAGGGATAGAGGGGGGCCATGGGGCTGGGTGCCCTTGCAGCCCCCTCCCTGCCCATCCTCCTCCCCCTCCCACACCCCCTTGCCCACCCCTGCCGCAGGACTTACGCCAGGGGCCCTTCGTATTTCATGATCTGGTAGGCACAGTCCCAGGTGCTCTTGTACTTGTGCGCTTCCAGCCCCTGCGGGATGAGAAAAGCAGAGTCACAGGCCGGAGCCAAGGCGCACCCGGTGGGGAGGCAGAGAGCTGGGGGGTGTGACACGAGGAACCGATCCAGGGCCACTGAACCTGGCAGGGAGATCCCCACCTAGGTACAAACACTTCCCAGCACCCTCACGGCCTGGCTGTGAGGGGGCAGCATCCCCCAGCATCTCTCCAACCTCGCCTGGCATCAAGCACCTGCCCTGGGGGTTGGAGGGAAGGGGTGACCCCAGCCCGCTGCAGGCAGAGTGGTTCCACACTGTGCCCTGGTGCCGTACCTGCATCCTGGTCTTCACCACGTCCAAGGGGGTGTTGCCAAAGACGCTCGCAGCTCCGGCAAGGGCTCCAAACACCCCCGTGACAAAGGGGTTGATGACCTTGTTGGGATCGTCCCCTGAGAAGGAGGAGAGGTTGAGGGAGAGCGGTGGTGTGGGGATACAGCACAGCATTCCCAAAGGAGCCCGCAAGAAGGCCCTGGGTCTAGCTGCTCATGGTTGGGGTTTGCGCCATGCTGAACAGGGGACTGGGGTGTTTGGAGGGGACCGTCCAGCAGCATCTGAGGGGCTCAGGGTGAGGGTGCAGGTGATGCTTCATCACCAGGACCCACAGGCTGGGAGCCCGCTGCCCTGGGTTTCATCTTCCTCCACCATGAGAGGCCAAGCCATGAGAAGTGAAGGGTGTGCTGATGGATCCTGAGGATGGGCTGGGGGAGCCAGTGGCAGAGCCGGGGCAGCCTGCGGGGACGGGGCACCGTACCTTTGTACCAGTTCTTGAGGGAGGTCATGACAAAGAAGCGTATGGCCTGGTTTGATCCTTGCTTGAGGATGGTTGCGGTTAAGCCCTGGTAGGTCCCCTTCAGCCCTGCAGCAAGAGCAGGCGTTGGAGGGGAGGACCAGCCTCACCCCGGCACAGAAAAACCTCCCCAGGCTGCCCGTCCCAGCCTGTACCCATCCCTCACCTCCCGCCCCATCCCCGCAGCATGGTAGTACCCAGGGGGTCAGGGTGCTGCTTCCCTAGGACTCACCCTGTTCCCGAACGATCTCCCGGATGCCGTGGAAGAAGCCGCGGTATTTGGGCTTGGGGGAGCACTGGTCATGGATAAACTTCACCTGCGGGGAGAGGACATGCTTGTCCTGGACGAGTCGAGGGGAGATGCGATGGCCCCGAAGGGCTGCCAGCCCCCTCCTGCCTTGCTCCAGGGATCCCGAGATCAGAGCCGGCCCTCGTGGCCAGGCAATGACAGGTGACACCACGGGGGAAGCCTGCACCACAGCCAGCAGTGCACTTTGCAGGGGAAAACCTGGGAATCTGCCTCCGCAAGTGTCCGCGTGCGTTTTACGGTACTAAAATGCGTGATGGGATGGCTCCTGCAGCCAGACCTGACCTGTCTGCGGGGCTTTGCAGCATCAGCTCCTCCCCGAGCAAACCCCCGTGGCCCCCAGTTCCCTGAACGCCGGGCATCTCTGGCTCTCACTCCAACCCAGCCCTGGGAGGGCTGCCGGGGCGGGGGAACGCTGGCAGCTGCCTCCCACCTACCTTTATGGTCTCCATGGGGCAGACCACCACCACGGCCTCGGCCACGCCGGCGCCCAGCCCGCAGATGAGGCCCCGCGTGCTGTCCAGCCGCCCCTGCTCATCTCTCATCTGGTTGCTGAGGAACTCGAACATCCCGAACCTGCGGAGGAGCCGCTGTGCC